GCAGGAATCCCACCCGTTTGCTGTCGACCTTTCCTTACTGACCTCTATCAGTGTCATTCTTCTCTCCGAGGCTACTTGATTGCCGGATATCAAGGATGCGTTGCTCTGGGCCTGCTAGTAGCTACCTCCATTGCCTATCTAGTCGGCAGAGATACCGATATATCTGCCTATAGATGTCTTGTTGCATGTCAATTCATCTGGCCGATACTCTTGGCCATAGGCGTTACGTTCATACCTGAATCACCACGTCATTTAGTCAACATGGGTCGCAATGAAGAAGCCTACACTGCCCTATGTCGCTTGCGAAATCCAAAACCGCGGAGCGAGTTAGATAAGCAGCGTGTGGGGATGGAGTTGAGCGAAATTTACTTCAGCCACGAGACTGGCCTAGGTCCAGAAAGAGTCTCATTTCGAGAACTTGTCAAGGAATGGTTTCGCGCTCGCGTAGAAGGCATCGCTAGAACACCTCACAGAAGAATCCATCCTCTGACCTTGAGTGTCTTTCTACATACTATGTATCAGTGGTACGTTGCCACACGGAATGAACCTACAACCCGGACACGAACTGACCATTCATCTCCTAATGTAACAGCACAGGTATAAACTTTATCATGTTCTCCTTGCCCTCGCTCGCTGAGTCTGATGAGGCTCTCAGCGACCCCCTTGTGATCGCCCTAGTCTTTTCCTTTGTCCGCCTTTGTGCCACGCCCATGTATATGTTGATATTCCGGAAGCTCGGTCAGCGCCGGACGCTTTTCTTCGGCGGGCTGGCCGTGTCGTCATGCCACTTTCTCACAGCCATTGTTGGTATGGCAGTTCGTTTGACTCATGACGAGTTTGTGGTCAACCGTGTCCAACTTGTCTTCATGGCTCTATTCCTTTTTCTCGTTGCGTCAAGCTGGGCACCTGCAGTGTGGATCATTACTGGAGAAATCCCTTGCACTGCTACAAGATCCAGGGATATTGGGATTTCCGCCGGAGTTCACTGGCTATGGGCAATTTTCGCATCTGTCTATACACCATATCTCATCGAGATTGAATGGATCAGACGGTCTGCGATCTTTTTGATCTTTGCCTTTCTATCTCTGGGCAGTTGTTTATTTGCTTACTATTTTGTCCCTGAGACGAGTAAGTTATTCCTTGAGTATATCGAGGTTATCATTCAAGAATCAGATCCACGTGTTACACGAGAGTGGAAGCCCAGTGATACTTTTGGCTGG